AAATGAAACCTTGCTTCGTTCTTGAATTAGGGTTGCTCGACTTCTTTCTGCTCTTTTGTTCTAAGTTTGATTGATTATTTTGAAAAAGACTTGACTAGGGTAAGTTCTAATTAAGTTTCTAGGCTAAAACAGACCAAAACTACGTAGTTGAGGGAAAAAACGACATAGTTTAGGGGTCCAACGCATAGGGAAAAGACCAAACGACCCCTGACTTAAAATTTGTCGGGGGTCATCGACGGACCAGACCGACAGACCGTGGCAGGACCGACGGTCCGTTCTGGTCAATGGTCATTAGGTGACTGGGAGGCTGAAGCAGGGGGTCTGACCTACGGCCCTGGACCACAGACTGTGGTCCGACCTACGGTTTGTAGGTCCCGGCGTGCGTCAACACTTGGCCAATTTTTCTGATGGTTCTGGGGAAGGGTCGAAGGTGGACATCCACAAACCACAAGTATGGGCCGTAGGTCACCCTACGGTCCGTGGGTGGCAACTGTGGGTTGCACCTGTAACTTCTGGAAATCTGTATTTTTGGTCTGTTCCGGATACGAGGTGTTACACTTTTGAAAGAACTCAGACAGGCCAAACGACAGAGAAGGGGTGGGGGCATGCGACCCTGGCGCACTGAGTGGCATAGGGCACCAGCCCCTAAACTACAGAACATATGTTCTGGCACACTAGTCGGGCGGTGCGCCAGCCACTCTCCAGAATTCCCCGACGAATTTTCTTTCTCGTTTTCTGACCCTAATTCACGTAGAATCGAATTGTTTCTTCCCAACTCACTAATATTAGAATACCCAACTTAAGTACACAATAATCTACTCAAAACCACCTTCAAATAACTAACATTCATCTCAAGAATTCATAAAAACCCCAACAATCAAGATTAAGAATGAAATTTCAAGAAAACTCATCGAGAACTCGAATCCTTCAACCTCAAGAACTAAATTTGCATTAAAATAGCATGATTGGCATGTGGGTGAATGAGCCCAACACTATGATAACTTACATACCCCTTAGGGATCAAACCCTTGGTGAAACAATTGTCGATCCGCAAGAAATATCGATGAAAACCTTGAACTTTTTCCTCTTTTCTCTTCTTTAACTTTCTTCTAACACCCTAAGCTTTTTAGGGTTAGGAAAACTTACCTAAATCAGATTTTACCCCCAAAATATTACTAAATTCATTTTAAGATGATGGGGTAAGGAAAATACCAAAATACCCCTCACTAATTCGGGTAACTTTCCTTAGCTGGTTAGGCTGACTTCAAATGGGCATATCTCGCTCATATGAGCTCAAAATTTAGCAAACTCGGTGGTGTTGGAAATAGGATTCAATGAACTTTCATTTGATATCTTATGGTCAACCTAAATCTTCATGTACTGAAAGTCATGGTCGTTTGAAATTGACCCAAAACTCATAACTTAAGCATAACTTGCAAAATTCTCAATTTAGCTATTTCCAACTTAGTGCTTTCTAAAATTAGCTATTTCTAAGGCGGGATGTTATACTTTTAATGTACAAACATCATTTACTTTGACTATTTTTTTGTATTCTAGCACATTCATTGTGTTCTAAAGATGTTACTTCACACGTAAATATAAGTTACTAGCAAGGTAACAATTTTCATCTTTTTTTGAAAACCTTTTCTATTATTTCACAAAATATATTGGTCTTACAATAGATCTGACTAAGTATTTCTTATTTTCTACAAGTATATGGATAACCAACATAACGTTTATGGTGATGAAGAGCATAATTAATGGATGTGCCAATATCTTTTATTACACCTCAAAAATCAAAAGTATATGATTTCAAGGTAAGTTTTTGAGAACTTCTTTTAATTTTAAGGTGTTCAATTTTATTCTCTCTCCCTCTCTCTCTCTTTATAAGAGAGAGAGGGAGAGGGAGATTTATAAAAGAGCTATGGATAATAGGAAACATAGTAAGAAACATACTAGTAGAAAGTTAAGAAAAATAAGAAGGAAATTAAACAAATTATATCCGGAATATAAAGAACTCAATATCACAAAAACTGATAACGATAAATTAGATCAATTAATAAATAATATATCTAAAATAGAATATAAATACATTCGATATTTAAAAATACAATGAATAGCGAGAATGACGAATATAAAGAAAAACTTACTAAAATAATTATAGCGAAAAGACAAGAATTAGAACATAGGCAAAATAGACGTAATAGTCA